CATGTCTATACTCATTGTAGGTAGTATGTCTGTACTCATTGTAGGTAGTGTGTCTATACTCATTGTAGGTAGTGTGTCTATACACATTGTAGGTAGTCTGTCTATACACATTGACGTTGTAGGTATTGTGTCTATTGTAGGTAGTGTGTATATACACATTGTAGGTAGTATGTCTATACTCATTGTAGGTAGTGTGTCTATACACGTTGTAGGTATTGTGTCTATTCTCATTGTAGGTAGTGTGTATATACACATTGTAGGTATTGTGTCTATACACATTGTAGGTATTGTGTCTATTCTCATTATAGGTATTATGTCTATTTTCACAGTTAGTTTTGCTTCTATTTTTGCAGTATATTTAGAGTTAAAACAGAAATTACTATGATAAATCGCTTTATTCGAATGAAAGATAATTTCACATACTCGTAATACATTTGGAAAAATAGACATTTATTTTCACAACGAAGACCAGGAAGGGAGACATCTTATTAGCTTAATACAAAACCAACATGGTTTACCTTAAACATTCCAGTGTTAGTTTCTTTTTTAAATTATGTTTCTGTATAGGATTGAAAAACATTGATAGCTCTGTCACCACCACATTTAACAGAAAAACATTGATAGCTCTGTCACCACCACATTTAACAGAAAAACATTGATAGCTCTGTCACCACCACATTTAACAGAAAAACATTGATAGCTCTGTCACCACCACATTTAACAGAAAAACATTGATAGCTCTGTCACCACCACATTTAACAGAAAAACATTGATAGCTCTGTCACCACCACATTTAACAGAAAAACATTGATAGCTCTGTCACCACCACATTTAACAGAAAAACATTGATAGCTCTGTCACCACCACATTTAACAGAAAAACATTGATAGCTCTGTCACCACCACATTTAACAGAAAAACATTGATAGCTCTGTCACCACCACATTTAACAGAAAGTTCCACAGGTGTAATCTGGTAACAAGATAATATGGTTCTTCTACAACCTCAACCAACCAGGATTACATCTCCTGCACGTATATTCATCGATTTGTGTCTTAAGGACAAAACGAAACTAATTTACTTGACAGGGATTCAAACACTGAATTATTAAAAAAAAATACACATTTTAGAAAAAACCTGCTCTTTTTACAAACAAACATTCAGATAGTCGAATTTAACTGAAAATCATTCTCATCTGAGCTTATATAAAAACAATAAAGAAATATTCATTTCGTTTGAATATGAATGTACAAACAACTTCTCCATTTCACAATATGATTACCGAATATTCCCTGAGGACGCGTCACTAAACATTCAAGGTGCATAGATATGTCATCTTGTTCTCAAACAATGATTGTCTCGCTCCGTCTCGGAGTATAACATAGATATGTCATCTTGTTCTCAAACAATGATTGTCTCGCTCCGTCTCGAAGTATAAAATAGATATGTCATCTTGTTCTCAAACAATGATTGTCTCGCTCCGTCTCGAAGTATAAAATAGATATGTCATCTTGTTCTCAAACAATGATTATCTCGCTCCGTCTCGGAGTATAACATAGATATGTCATCTTGTTCTCAAACAATGGTTGGCTCGCTCCGTCTCGGAGTATAACATAGATATGTCATCTTGTTCTCAAACAATAATTGTCTCGCTCCGTCTCGGAGTATAACATAGACATGTCATCTTGTTCTCAAACAATGGTTGTCTCGCTCCGGCTCGGAGTATAACATAGATATGTCATCTTGTTCTCAAACAATAATTGTCTCGCTCCGTCTCGGAGTATAACATAGATATGTCATCTTGTTCTCAAACAATAATTGTCTCGCTCCGTCTCGGAGTATAACATAGATATGTCATCTTGTTCTCAAACAATAATTGTCTCGCTCCGTCTCGGAGTATAACATAGACATGTCATCTTGTTCTCAAACAATGGTTGTCTCGCTCCGTCTCGGAGAATAACATAGATATGTCATCTTGTTCTCAAACAATAATTGTCTCGCTCCGTCTCGGAGTATAACATAGACATGTCATCTTGTTCTCAAACAATGGTTGTCTCGCTCCGTCTCGGAGTATAAAATATGTATGTATATAAATGCTTAAACAACATAAGATCGAACGTTTACAATATAGATATTAAAAATTACGTGATAGGCAAATTATTGTACATATTCTCAATACACATTAATCTGAAGAAACATACATCTGCACTATTTTGTTCAAAAACATGATTTATCACACCATTCACCTTACAAATATGACGTCAAAACTAAAAATAGCTCGATGACGTCATAAATAGCAAGTGTCGTCGGCTGACGAACACCTTTTCACTTACCTAGTTCAAACGATTAACAAAGAAATGTTGATTGACATATCACGTCATTACGACTTTATTGAATTTCGAATAATTTTGGCAAAAATTACGTATAAGTTTTAAATGATGTATTATAGAATTTAAGATTATACTTTTTTAATTACTTAACCGTAAGCGAAATTAATATTAACGAGTAAGCTCCCCTATCAAAATTAAATTGCAACAGATCAAACTTTTTAAAGTGTTCAGTTTTCGGCGATGATTTTATAAAAGTATCAGAACTCGTATTGTCATTTACGGAGATAAACAAAATTAGGTATGTATCATAAAAAGTACATATTTTGTGATTAAATAAAAATGCATAATGTGCGTTATTCCATATGGAGAGTCAATGCTAGTTTCAGTCAGGACAGTATGGAATCGTGTGGTATACAGCTTTATTTATTTGATATGGAAGGAAGAATCTATAATGATATAAACTTGAGTTGGTTTTTTATCTTTCAGATCATGTGTGGATATTTGACTATAATAATGTTTAACAAAAAAAGTTAGAAAGTGTGGTAAGTGTAAATAACTGATCCTACGTTTTTTGTTACCAACAGGCAATCAGAAATTAAACATTGGGAACCTCCGGTTAGGCAGTGATGTAAACATTCACCAAATCATACAAATCATAACAAAGGCTATATAGACGTTAATTACACGAACAATACATTACCGTCAATCATAGCATCACTGTTACAAGAACAACTAAGCCATTAGAAAGAAATATCCTCGTCCTCGGTTTAATAAAACATGTCAATTGACGACATTTAGGCTATATCTTGTGTGTTTGGTATCGGAATAATTTCCTAGTTGTAATCATTTAATTTGAAAACAATTTTAACCATTATCATACAAGGTTTTTCTTTTCCGTTACGTGAAACAGCTTTTCAATATTATTCAACCCTTTTTGATCAAATTTTTTATTATTTTTTCAAACCCCTAAGCGGCGCGAAGTGCGCAGGGTTTGATCTGTGAACACTGCGTCCATTTCCGGTTCTTTCCCATGCGGAAAAACCTTCATGAAAATTGAGGCCGCATAAAAATTGCATTGAGAACCCCATTCAAAATGGCGCTCTGCGTTGTTGTCAATCGTGACGTCATTGAAACCTTGGAACGGTAGAATGTATACTTTTCCCTACATTCAATCAGGAATTCACTTAATTACACAATTGATGACATTGATGTCATTTTGTGAAGCAGCCCTTGCCAGGAAACGGTAGAATAATTTCATCGAAGACGACAATTCCCGTTGTTTCTTGAAGCCGAAATATTTATGTCGTTGTACTTCAAAACTGCAGTCAAAAGAAAATTTGATGATTTTTACTCGAATGGCAAAATATACCGCTATTTTTCACTCATAGTTCGCACATGAAAACAGATATCGGTGTTCTGCCATTATTGTGAAATATACAGACATTTTTATATGGATAATGATGTGAGTGATAATGATATCGATAGCAGAATTACGTACAGACGGATACGTTACTTTCAGGAGCAGATGCCTGTCATCCTTAGGGTCACGTTTGCGTGTAAAGTAAGTCTGCTGGCCGGACGTGGATCACTATAGGCTGCCTTACATTTATGTTGTCTCTCCTTGGCGGAAGTGAGATGAGTTCCCGCTGTTCGTGTCTCCGATGTAGGGTTCTTGGTAACGCTGGCATTACCTCTCCTTCGTCACCAAAAAGCATTGCATTGATACTAACATTTTCACAGACAAAGGTTGCTTTACAAAATTTTCTAAAAGTTTTACTTACAAAACAATAAATGACTGGGTTCGTTGCTGTAGTAGAATACGAAAAACAAGGCGAGTAAATTTTAATGTAATACAAAAACTGATTGTTCGACATCCCAAAGCCGTCCATTATGGCTGCTAGGTGTAAAGGAAGCCAACAGATAGCGAAGGTCAATGTTACAACAAAAACCACCTTCAGAATTCGTTGTCTCGTTTGAAGGGTCGCAATACGCATTTGGTTAAATCTTAGACCTCCCGTGGAGATTGTTCGCATTTTCCGTGCAATTTGGATGTAGCAGAATCCCAAGATGAAGAGTGGAATGGCATACATAAAAATGAACAGCATTGTGACGTATATTTTCATCTGAGCTTTCTCGAGCGTCTCCATACAAAACGTCTTAAATGACACGATTTCCCGTGTAATCTTGATGACAGGCGAAAACGCGGTAATAGAAATGAACCAAATGGCCATGAGGACAATGAGCGTCCGAGGTTTTGTTCTGCAATAAAAAGAAGACATATAATTTATAACTGTAATTTTAAAACATGTAACGATTCTTTATTAATACGCTTTAAAATCAATATAGCATCTGGACGTTTTAAACGGTATATGACCATCCCTCAAGGACTTTATCAATGGAGATGCTTTTGACAGCATTTCCTAAATTTATCTAAATATAATGCTATATGTGTTGTTATGTCGTGTCATTGCAGGCCATTAAAGCTATGTTTCGTGCGCTATCATGGCTGATGTCGACTACATCTTATAGACATGTATTAAATGACATACGTATATATAGACATTATTAGATGACATACGTATATATAGACATGTATTAGATGACATACGTATATATATACATGTAGTAGATGACATACGTATATATACACATGTATTAGATGACATACGTATATGTATACATGTATTAGGTGACATAAGTATATATAGACATGTATTAGATTACATACGTATATATAGACATGTACTAGATGACATACGTATATATACACATGTATTAGATGACTTACGTATATATAGACATGTATTAGTTGACATACGTATATATAGACAGGTATTAGATGACATACGTATATATACACATGTATTAGATGACTTACGTATATATAGACATGTATTAGATGACGTACGTATATATATACATGTACTAGATGACATACGTATATATAGAGATGTATTAGATGACAGGCGTAGAGGGAGACATGTATTAGATGACATACTTATATATAGACATGTATTAGACGACATACGTATATATAGACATGCATTAGATGACATACGTATATATAGACATGTATTAGATGACATACGTATATATATACATGTACTAGATGACATACGTATATATATATATTTCCTTCATCACCATTGGTTGGATCAGAATCACGTGGAGTTTGGTAATTTGTGATACAACCTCGGTGTTACTATTCTAAGAAAAATAAGGTCAATATTCACTTTATGATGTAATTTCATTTGCAACGTCACAATGCTCTCTGACAACGTCACAATGCTATCTGACAACGTCACAGTGCTCTCTGACAACGTCACAATGCTATCTGACAACGTCACAGTGCTCTCTGACAACGTCGCAGTGCTCTCTGACAACGTCACAATGCTATCTGACAACGTCACAATACTATCTGACAACGTCACAGTGCTCTCTGACAACGTCGCAGTGCTCTCTGACAACGTCACAGTGCTCTCTGACAACGTCACAATGCTATCTGACAACGTCACAGTGCTCTCTTACAACGTCGCAGTGCTCTCTGACAACGTCACAATGCTATCTGACAACGTCACAGTGCTCTCTGACAACGTCGCAGTGCTCTCTGACAACGTCACAATGCTATCTGACAACGTCACAATACTATCTGACAACGTCACAGTGCTCTCTGACAACGTCGCAGTGCTCTCTGACAACGTCACAGTGCTCTCTGACAACGTCACAATGCTATCTGACAACGTCACAGTGCTCTCTTACAACGTCGCAGTGCTCTCTGACAACGTCACAATGCTATCTGACAACGTCACAATGCTCTCTGACAACGTCACAATGCTATCTGACAACGTCACAGTGCTCTCTGACAACGTCGCAGTGCTCTCTGACAACGTCACAATGCTATCTGACAACGTCACAATACTATCTGACAACGTCACAGTGCTCTCTGACAACGTCGCAGTGCTCTCTGACAACGTCACAGTGCTCTCTGACAACGTCACAATGCTATCTGACAACGTCACAGTGCTCTCTGACAACGTCGCAGTGCTCTCTGACAACGTCACAATGCTATCTGACAACGTCACAATACTATCTGACAACGTCACAGTGCTCTCTGACAACGTCGCAGTGCTCTCTGACAACGTCACAGTGCTCTCTGACAACGTCACAATGCTATCTGACAACGTCACAGTGCTCTCTTACAACGTCGCAGTGCTCTCTGACAACGTCACAATGCTATCTGACAACGTCACAATACTATCTGACAAATCCAGCACTTTCCTCTGTACAGTTTTCATGCGTTCCATTTGTGTTTAATAATTAAAACATTATTTAGCATTTAATACAACAATTAAGGACTTTTATTGCGGTGAATATGTGGTAATATGAACCTGAGAAAGTAATATTTTTCCGGTTCATATGACCACATATTCATGTCAATAAAGGTCCAACATTGATAAGTATGAAATACGTAGCCTGCTATCAGTGTTAACACACAAATACTGGCACCTATCACAGCTGTATATATGATATACTGTATATTCAAATCGTGCCAACTGCTACGTCATCCCTTGTTCACTTCATGGCGTCAAAGACTTCAAATTGCACTGTGAGATTTACGAAATGAGTCTAAAATTTCCATTATACCACACCTCTCATGTATTGTATAATGACCAATATTGGGTTAAGATGTTATCTACGACTTCAACACCATCCTTCAACCCCTTCATCCCCCCTCCCAATAACAGGATGTACTACAGCCATGTGGTAGGGAGAAGGTTAAACCACTAACCTCATCGTTCTCGACATAACAGGATGTGCTACAGCCATGTGGTAGGGAGAAGGTTAAACCACTAACCTCATCGTTCTCGACATAACAGGATGTACTCCAGCCATGTGGTAGGGAGAAGGTTAAACAACGCACCTCATCGTTCTCGACATAACAGGATGTGCTACAGCCATGTGGTAGGGAGAAGGTTAACAACTTACCTCATCGTTCTCGACATAACAGCATGTACTACAGCCATGTGGTAGGGAGAAGGTTAAACCACTAACCTCATCGTTCTCGACATAACAGGATGTGCTACAGCCATGTGGTAGGGAGAAGGTTAAACCACTAACCTCATCGTTCTCGACATAACAGGATGTACCACAGCCATGTGGTCGGGAGAAGGTTAAACAACTCACCTCATCGTTCTCGAAATAACAGGATGTACTACAGCCATGTGGCAGGGAAAAGGTTAAACAACTCACCTCATCGCTCTCGATATAACAGGATGTACTACAGCCATGCGGTAGGGAGAAGGTTAAACAACTCACCTCATCGTTCTCGACATAACAGGATGTACTACAGTCATGTGGTAGGGAAAACGTTAAACAACTTACCTCATAGTTCTCGACATAACAGGATGTACTACAGCCATGTATCGATCAATCCCAATAGCGGTCAAGGTCATAACATGCAGCGACATACAACACACCATTAGGTAGGATGCAAATTTACCTGTAAACAAATTAGTCATATGTTAACAACAGAACACCATAGAGTTGTTGATATTTCCAGCTGAGGTGGATGGATAATGAAACGGCAGATAACTGGGATAATGTTCAACAGTTACTGAAAATCTCAATCCAAATACCGACTGTGATAAAATTGTGGGTGAATTAACGACACTCTATTATATCCTTTAGAAATCGCCAACATTTTACTCCTGACTACCATTTTGTATCTCACCAAGATCTCACAGCAAATGAGTTGGTATATAGAAAAGTGTATGGTGTTAAAAAAAACTTGCTATTAAAATTACGATGTGTTTACCAATTTCGTTATAAAAGACTGCAAAATTTTGAAATATTTCAGATAAATATAATAATAACTTTATCAGAAAAACGGTATTCATAATAATGAGTTATTATTCAAGTGAACTGTTCAAGTGTTAGTCGATTAGAAGATAGGTAGACGGAGGAGTCCTTCAGGGGTTTTCTACAGATTGTTCTGTCACAGTGAGCAGCATGTCGCCTTTATAGGTTTATGGGAACAACGGACGTCAGTGTCGCTAGCTATTGACAACCTATGTACGCTCTACGGAAACAATTGAGGACCTGCTATCTGTACAACATTTAAGACCAATGCTCCCTAATCTGAAACATCTTTTTTAAATGTATCTGCAACAGATAACTGGGCAACATTTAATGACAAAGTTCCAGCAGCATTTTTTTACTGTCTCTATCCCTTGTTAATAATGTAGGTGAAACAAAAGGTTTATACCATAATGTCGCTATCCAGAGGCAAATTCGAAACTCAGAGTTGTTACAAAACGACAATAACAGGAACTATGTCAGTAAAACGCTTACACGGCAAGTACCTCCCTCTATCATTTGTGAAAATACATAATGATAAATCATGTTGCAGACGCTCAACAGACAACCTTACTGCTATTTGCTATATACTAACTATTGGCTATACAACTATCTACTGGCTACATGCTATATATTGGCTGTATACTATATATTGGCTATATACTATCTATTGGCTGTATACTATCTATTGGCTACATACTATATATTGGCTATATACTATCTATTGGCTATATACTATCTATTAACTATATACTATATATTGGCTATATACTATATATTGGCTGGATACTATATATTGGCTATATACTATATATTGGCTATATACTATATATTGTCTGTATACTATCTATTGGATGTATACTATCTATTGGCTGTATATTATCTATTGGCTATATACTATCTATTGGCAATATATTATCTATTGGCTATATACTATCTATTGGCTATATATTATCTATTGGCTATATACTATATATTGGCAATATACTATCTATTGGCTATATACTATATATTGGCTGGATACTATCTATTGGCTATATACTATCTATTGGCTATATACTATATACTGCAATATACAATCTATTGGCTATATACTATCTATATTGGCTGTATACTATCTATTGGCTGTATACTATCTGCTGGCTATATACTATATATTGGCTGCATACTATATATTGGCTGTATACTATCTAGTGGCTATATACTATCTATTGGCTGTATACTTTATATTGGCTATATACTATCTATTGGCTATATATTATCTATTAGCTATATACTATCTAATGGCTGTATACTATCTATATTGGCTGTAAACTATCTATATTGGCTGTATACTATCTATTGGTTATATACTAACTGTTGGCTATATACTATCTATTGGCTATATACTATCTAGTGGCTATATACTATCTATTGGCTGTATACATTATATTGGCTGTATACTATCTATTGGCTATATACTATCTATTGGCTATATACTGTATATTGGCTATATACTATCTATAGACTATATACTATCTATTGGCTATATACTATCTATTGGCTATCTATTGGCTGTATACTATCTATTGGCTATATACTATATACTGCTATATACTATATACTGCTATATACAATCTATTGGCTATATAATATCTATTGGCTGTATACTATCTATTGGCTATATACTATCTATTGGCTGTATACTATCTATTGGCTATATACTATCTATTGGCTATATACTATCTATTGGCTATATACTATCTATTGGCTATATACTATCTATTGGCTATATACTATCTATTGGCTATATACTATCTATTGGCTATATACTATCTATTGGCTATATACTATCTATTGGCTATATACTATCTATTGGCTATATACTATCTATTGGCTATATACTATCTATTGGCTATATACTATCTATTGGCTATATACTATCTATTGGCTATATACTATCTATTGGCTATATACTATCTATTGGCTATATACTATCTATTGGCTATATACTATCTATTGGCTATATACTATCTATTGGCTATATACTATCTATTGGCTATATACTATCTATATTGGCTATATGCTATCTATTTGCTATATACTATCTATAGGCTGTATACTATCTATTGGCTATATACTATCTATTGGTTTATACTATCTATTGGCTATATACTATCTATTGGCTATATACTATATATTGGCTATACACTATCTATTGGCTATATACTATCTATTGGCTATATACTATCTATTGGCTATCTATTGGCTATATACTATCTATTGGCTATATACTATATACTGCTATATTCTATGTACTGCTATATACAATCTATTGGCTATATACTATCTATTGGCTTATACTATCTATTGGCTATATACTATCTATTGGCTATATACTATATATTGGCTATATACTATATATTGGCTATATACTATCTATTGGCTATATACTATCTATTGGCTATATACTATATATTGGTTATATTCTATCTATTAGCTATATACTATCTATTGACTATATACTATCTATTGGCAATATACTATCTATTAGCTATATACTATCTATATTGGCTGTATACTATATATTGGCTGTATACTATCTATTGGCTATATACTATATATTGGCTGTATACTATCTATTGGCTATATACTAACTATTGGCTATATAATATATATTGGCTATATACTATCTATTGGCTATATATTATCTATTGGCTATATACTATCTAATGGCTGTATACTATCTATATTGGCTGTATACTATCTAATGGCTGTATACTATCTATTGGCTATATACTATCTATTGGCTATATACTATCTATTGGCTATATACTATCTATTGGCTATATACTATCTATTGGCTATATACTATCTATTGACTATATACTATCTATTCACTATATACTATCTATTGGCTATATACTATCTATATTGGCTGTATACTATATATTGGCTGTATACTATCTATTGGCTATATACTCTATATTGGCTTTATACTATCTATTGGCTATATACTAACTATTATCTATATAATATATTGGCTATATACTATCTATTGGCTATATATTATCTATTGGCTATATACAATCTATTGGCTATATAGTATCTATTGGCTATCTATTGGCTATATACTATATATTGGCTATATACTATCTATTGGCTATATACAATCTATTGGCTATATACTATCTATTGGCTATCTATTGGCTATATACTATATATTGGCTATATACTATATACTGCTGTATACTATATACTGCTATATACAATCTATTGGCTATATACTATCTATTGGCTGTATACTATCTATTGGCTATATACTATCTATTGGCTATATACTATATATTGGCTATATACTATCTATTGGCTATATACTATATACTGCTATAAACAATATATTGGCTATATACTATATATTGGCTATATACTATCTATTGGCTATATACTATCTATTGGCTGTATACTATATATTGGCTGTATACTATCTATATTGGCTGTATACTATCTATATTGGCTGTATACTATATATTGGCAGTATACTATATATTGGCTATATACTATCTATTGGCTATATGCTATATATTGGCTATATACTATCTATATTGGCTGTATACTATCTATTGGCTGTATACTATATATTGACTATATACAATCTATTGGCTATATATTATCTATTGGCTATATGCTATATATTGGCTATATACTATCTATATTGGCTGTATACTATATATTGGCTGTATACTATCTATTGGCTATATACTATCTATTGGCTGTATACTATTTATTGGCTATATACTATCTATTGGCTATATACTATCTATTGGCTATATAATATATATTGGCTATATACTATCTATTGGCTATATACTGCTATGTACTATCTTTTGGCTATATGCTATCTTTTGGCTAATCTATATTTACAATAACGGAGTTATCTAAAAGTAATTAAATCGTAATAACATCATTGCGTTTCAACATAGAAAATAGGCGTAACGGGTCTACATCCTGACCGACCACATCAAAGAGAGCTGTGAGGAATGACAACCATTTCTAAGTCAGACTCCGCAGATGTATTGTAGTTACTGTTTAGTCCGACAGTTAACAGATGTATTGTAGTTACTGTTTAGTACGACAAGTACATTTAACAGATGTATTGTAGTTACTGTTTAGTACGACAGTTAACAGATGTATTGTAGTAACTGTTTAGTACGACAGTTAACAGATGTATTGTAGTAACTGTTTAGTACGACAGTTAACAGATGTATTGTAGTTACTGTTTAGTACGACAGTTAACAGATGTATTGTAGTTACTGTTTAGTACGACAGTTAACAGATGTATGTAGTTACTGTTTATTAGGACAGTTAACATAGGTATTGTAGTTACGGTTTAGTACGACAGTTAACAGATGTATTGTAGTTACTGTTTAGTA